TATATATATATATATATCTTACTTTTAATATATTTTTCTGTTGTTTTCAGAATTATTGTCGAGTTGGAGAGAATGAATGGAGCTCTCCAAGACTTTTTGAATGAGATACAAGAACTATGTCAGGAAATGGCGCCCGAACCTAGTGTAGCAGCGATGTTAGCACCGTCACATCTTCGAGAAAAATGCAAACAAGAAGCGGCAGATATGGTCGCTAAAAATAACGTAATGAACGATAAAGAACCAGGAAAAATGAATCAATTGGTAACCGATTTAACTGCGTTGATGTTACAAGTGAAAGTAAGATAAATGGAATATTTTTATTGAATTTATTTTATTCCTTATTTGATGCTAAAAAACATAATTTTCTTTATCGCAGAGCTTATCAGATTCTGATCGAAATGCATATGAGCTCAAAGTATTACAAGGTACTATAGAGCAGATAAGATCAAAACTCAGCCCACAGAATCAGCAAGTGTTTCAAAACTGCGTTGAAATTCATATGCAGCACATTCAAGTAGGCCTAGGACAGATGGGTCCTCTTACGCCGTTTATGGCGCAGAGAGTTTGAAGATGGACAACTCGTAAATTCTCACCAAGTGTACAGTATAATAGACGATCACGTATCACGATATTTTTAGAAAGCAAGAAACTCTAACCTTGTATTTTCTCATCTTGTATAGATTATATTAATAATGTATTGCCATGTAAAGTGCATGTCTACACAATATACATATAAGATTTAAGCTATTTTGTATATACAGAATATATCAGTTCTTCAATTTTCTTTAACGACACATTCATGAGATACTGGCTTAGTTTACATCGTGCACTTGATGTACTGATTAATAATTTTCTATTAAATTATTTTATTTCAGCGATGTATTTAAGGATTGATGTACTAAATTAATTCAATATGCATCCAAATGATTACTTAAATACACACATCATGTATATATTTACACGTATTGCTAAAATTAAGATAATTTAATAAAAAAAAATTACTAATTAGTATCTGTATCAAGTGCACATTATAAACTAGACTACTTAGAGGAATTTGTGTACTGTTGGATAATGTTATTGAACATATTGAATATCTAAAAATGTTCATTTCTTAAAATTTTATGTATGCAAAGACTCGGATCGAAACATTTCGGTCTTAAATCCAACTTTTGATTCCAATTCTTTTACCGTAACGGTTATTTCTAAGTAGTACACAGCGCTTACAAAGCGTTAATAAAGCGCTAAAAAAAAGCGCTTATGACATTTTAACGCTTTGTAAGCGCTGCTACTTGGCTCGGTCTATTTAGATTTCGATCTTTTTCAGTATTGGTAATTGTATACCTGTAACGGCTACCGTTATCACTAAAAGAACTGAAATTATCCCGAAACTGAAAGGCTGCGTAGCCTTTGACTATGATCATAACCATTCTTAAGCTTTAAATCATAATGTAAATTCAGTCTGAGTCTCTGAATGTATTATATTCGATTAGGCATAAATATAAAAGGCAACTTACTGTCAATTGTGACAGTATGCGTGCAAATAGGAAAATTATATTCATTGAAATCAAATTCAGATTTGTATATATATATATGTATGTATACAGTCGATTTATATAGATAACTATATAATTTGTTATGAGAGAGAGGCTCTTCACAATGCAAGTGTAATTTAGAAGTTTCAACTAATTATAAAAAATTTATTGTCATAAATAAAAATGTTTTTAATCAATTTATATCTAAAAACCATTTATGCTAATATTCTTTTCACGCTAAAAAATTTCACTAAATAATATGTTCTTTAATATAAATATTTGTATATTTATGTATAATTGTTCATGATTCGAATCACGTGTAATCAATCCAAAGAAAATATACTTTTTTGAATAAAATGACTAATTTTTGAAATAGAATAATTTCGTATAATTAAGTATTAAGTATATTAAATATAACAAATGTATAAACAAAATAACAGAGTGAAAGATTGATACTTTATAAAGTGAATATTTCTTACCCTGAACATTCACTGATTATTGAATGTAATCTATTTCACAATACGTAAATTCTCTTTAAAACATAACGTAATGTTTATAGAACGTCAAACTTTTTACTTATTTTATGTACCATAAATAAGTTATGAAGTTTGTTTTGTATGATATCAGGCAATCCATATAATTTATAATACTTTTACACTTGTAATTAACTTCTGTAGTACAATTACTTTGTAATTAACAATATAGAACATTTCAGCAGCTATTACAAGCACAAATTGCTTCGTTCATAATATATACTATTATATTTCTACTATACATACTGTACATATATTTCCAATTATTATTATTACATTATTGATTACAATTGCAACACTCATTCCAATAATGTCATACATGTAAATTGAGACATTTTTTGTAGAAACTATTCCATTTTTGCATTCTTATATAAAGACTTACCTTTTTACACAATCTGTAAATAACAATTGGAAAAAATTTATCATTGATATCTAAAAAAAATTTTCTTATTCTTCATGACGTAAGAATAGAAGATAATTTATTGTATATAATGGTGATCGAATGTAATTTTGTAGCAAATTGATAATAAATTTCTAATATCGATTTAAGAGCGAGATTACATTTGCGTTTTTGTCATACAACAAATTTTTCAAGCCTTCTAATTAGCTATAGGATAAAGAGATCCGAGAACTTCTCTGACCTTTATCTTCTTCTTACGTTAGATCTCTGACCTATGTTACTCTTTCTCATATTATGGTGCGTCCGTTCAATTGCCACGAGCATATGGGACCTACAATTTTAATGTCAGTTCCGAATGGCGAATTTTTCGAGAGGTGTTTCTGTGGGCAAGAATATTCTCCGAGAGATTGTCAGCCTTTGAGGGTTGCCGCGCTTTGTCCTGCAGCGTTTGTTGCACAACAAAAACGGATAAATGAAATATCACCTTCATTGATTTATAACATTTTGAGCTAATTTTTTGACTGATCATCTCGTATCACTGCGTATGTCGAGAATGAAACACCTTGTATTCTTACATCATACATACTTCTCATGATCATGTTAAGTTCCTAGGCAATCGCAAAATTTAGATTTTATGGAATGATGAGAATAAAGTTTGATACAAAATCATTACGTTGATAAATAATATTCCATGGATTAGCGTTTGCTTCATTCTTCAAGCTCTAAAATAACGTCAAAAAAACATCATTCAAATACGTTAAGTCAAATTTCGTATAATTTTTACTTTTTATGTTTATTCAACGCTTCCAATAATTCATCCGCGTTTTCACTAGTTTTCACTCTTAACAGCACTGAGACTGGTGGTGGTGAAGAATCTGGCATTGGTAGGCAGACCAACATTATTGTGTTCTTGTTCATGCGTTTCGTGGGAATGCTTTGAGTTAATAGGGTATTGAGTAACAAATTACCCAAAGCAGTATTGGCTCGTACTATCAATTGCGTCTTTCCATTCGGTGTTGGTTTCAGATACAACATTCCGATGCCTCTATCAGTATAAACATTGTCTTTCTTTACAAAGACTTTACACCTATAAAAAAATATATTTGATATTAAGAGATAATTTATATATTAAGAAAGTTACTTTATAATTATAAAAAGTTTTTAAAAAGTTTTATGTAGTTTTTAATTTGATATTTGTAAGTTAAGAAATTACAATGTACAACTTACCTTTGTTCATAAGTAGCACCTTCTTCAGTTACCAGTTTGAATTCTTGTTTCGGCGGTTCTTCATCTTCTTCATCTTTATTTTCATTGCTTGCTTTGTCTTCGGTTTTCTCTTGTTTTACTACTTGAGGAGCAAATGAAAATGGCTTTGCACTACAAATTATAAAAATGTGTTTTTGTATTTTATTCAATATAATAAATAAGTTAATGAACAAATTACCTTCCAAAACTAAATCCAGCAGACACGTTACTGGTGGTAGAACTCTGTCCAAAACTAAAAGTGGGAAAGGTAGGGGCTACAGACTTCGCGTTGGAGGATGTCTCCTCCTCATCTTTACTATCTGAAACGGTAGATTTGTTTGCGAAGGGACTATTTTCCACACTTGTATTGCCAAATACACTTTTACTAGCAACGTTTGACTCTGTGCTTCTAAAAATAGACTTATTTTTATCAGGAGTTACATCTGTACTACCAAACACAGATTTGGAATTTTCTGTTTTCTGTTCTGTATTACTAAATACAGATTTAGTATTCGTGGTGATGTTGGAAAATATTGACTTCTCAGATTTTAATTCTGTTCCTGTGGTTAAAGTAGACTTTGTATTCGCGTTTGAATTCCCAAACAGTGACTTTTCTGGTTTCTTTTCTGAACTTATCTCTTTAATATCATTCTTTGCAGCCTGCGTTACATGCTCTGAAGAAGTATGCGAAATTTGTGTTTTGCTACTTTCTTCTTTTGATGTAATTTCTTTCAAATATCTCTCATAATCCTTAAATATAGGTGTTAATATACAAAATGGATTTGCATCTACATGGCTTTTTATCCATGTAGCAACGCTTTCATTTAGTCCTTTCAATTTTGCGTAATAATCCGACGAGTGACTCCTTGTTTTTTCAGTTCCTTGCTCAACTGAATTTTTTTTGCTTGTACTTGATGATGTTTGTAATTTGGTAAAATCCTCTCTTTTATCTGTATCAATTTCGGGAACCTTAGGAGCACCGTTGCTAGCAGTCTGCTTGTTACTTGTATTTACAGTCGTTGCTGATGCAGTAGAAGTAGTCGTACTAGAAGTAGTGCTTGTATTAGCTAGAAAACCGAATGGAGATAAACTTGGATTAGTTTTGAAACCTGTAAATGACCCAAATGCACTTTTTGTTGGAATTCCCTGAAATAATTAACATAGAACAGTAATAAAGACAGGAAAATTCAGGTAAAAAATAGTCAGGACATATACTTACGTCTTTCGATGGCAAACGACGTCTTGCTGTTTTTATAACTCTCTTCTCAAGTATATCATTTGAAGCCAGCGCAAACGTTCCTGCATCCTCTGGTTCATTCTCCTCATTCCAATTGTCATGATTCAATTCTGTTGTTGCAGTTCGCTTACCTGACATTCTGTTATCTGATGTACTTCATACATAAATAAAGAAGAAATCATATCAGTGACAATACAATAAATATATTACTCTAAATATAAACGCTTAATATATTTGAAAATAAAATTTTGTACAAGCAAAATGCTAGAATCAATGTAGTTATCAGAAACAAAGAAAAGCTAAAATTTCCACTGCATTAGACAATTCAAGATGATAAATTCATTTGCAGACTGAAAAGGGTTTTCTTTTCTAAATTATGTAGTAAACTGTGTAATATATGAATTTTTATTTCCCGCGAAATATAAAATAAGATAAAAAAATCGGAGATACATTTATAGAGTTCATGTGACGTGAAACGATTCAGTCGATATCACATTGCCAAATCAGGTTATGTTTCAAGCGCTATCATTCCGGCGAGTTTCTCATACACGAATCGTAAGTTGAAATTATTCCTGTAGGTGTTCTGGAGTGAGTAATTCTATTTTAAAAAATTGAAGAAAACGCAAAAATATATGAAACGTTACTGTACAATCTTGCGATGATGAATAGATATCGATTTTTATTAAACTCACCTGAAATCGAAGAAATTGCGTTTGCCGCGGTGACTGCGACATCAACGTCTGCGAAAATAAAG